CCATTTCGGGTTCGTATTCTTTTAACGCTTCGATGGCAGATTCTGCATTTCGTTCCTGTAGAGTTAAATACATTATTCCATTGCGACGTCTATAAACACAGTTGAATATTTAATTTAATTGAACACTAAGTTATTTCATTGTAGTATAATAAATATCTCACCTGCCATACTCCTACAACAGCGTTAGCAATAAGAATTAATAAAATAACGAATGGTTCTACGAAGGCTGAGAATGCGTCTTCGTGTTCTTCAAATAAAGCTAAAACCTAGAAGAAAAATAAAACTTTATAGTTTAAATGAACAAAAAAGTTTAAAACAGTAACATACATGCTTCTTGTTAATACTTACGAAGGAAATAATAGCGGCTAACAACAAAATCTTCACTAAAAGGTCATCAAATTGCTCCAGAACTAGCTGCCATATACTTTTGCCTATAAAAGTAAATTTATTTATAAGCACCATATAACTAGGAATCTTGGTGGATAAAGAAGACGTTTAGAAGGCTTCTAGGTTGACGTAATCGTGGACGAGAGCGGGAAATTAAATCAGGTCAAGATATTATATAATTGTAACGCTCTACAAACCGTAAACTTGGTACTTAGGTAATTGAAATATACTATAAATAAACTGCTATCTGATTTAGTGGATATTAAATTGTGCGTTGCAGATATTTATTTGTTATTTAATACCACGTGAGTATTTATTGACTTGAAAGATACGAATGCAAGGAGAGAAACATTATTTATTTATACCATGAATGTAGAATTACAATTTTAAATTTTGCTCTAGAAATATTACTGTGCTTGTTGCACTACTTTTATACAGTGCGAAGAGCGGATGGACGTGGGGGGATTGTAATCTTTAGTCTAACGCAAATCGATATGTGAGATGATTATCTCGCTTACCTTCTTCCGCAGGCAGTTCTGAAAACAGAAAAGCACCGTAATTAGAGGTTTGAATAAAACATCAAAGGAGTAAATTTTACAGACGATAAACCAGTCAGAGCATGCATGTAATCTATCTCGGCAGTTACGATCGTACATAAATACACGTACATTGACTACATTTTATATATGCTGATCAGAGTCTACTGCCTTTAAAGTTACAAGATTTGAACAATACGGCGACTATGACATCATTAGTGAACCTTTTTGTATCAATAACACACGTTACGTATTCTGTGACGTATTGAATGGTCTCATGTCTTATGAATAATCTCTTAAGATTCGTTATACAACATATTGAAGTTTAGTTGATATTGACTTATCTTCACACTTGATATTTACTATATACTTCCTGCTATGGTATTTACATAATTTGTGTAAAAATTTTACACAAAGGAATTAATTAAATACACGATTTATCTAGAGAGATAAGACATTTACGTTAAGTTGTTAGTTTTTTGTTGAATTTAGTTACGATGTGGTTTGTTAGAGTAAACATGTACGATATCGTCAAGGG